TAGAAATAAATCCATAAATTTATAATAAAAACATATTTTTGCCAAGAGCTGCTCAGAACCCCAGATACCCATGGGGGGAAGAACAGGGAATAAAAAAAGAAAAGAGACAGTATTCAAGGTACGAGTGGTCCAGGAGGAACCTGACTCCAGTGGACAGACACAACAATCTCCATGACTGACCCACTTTTATTAGCAAGCAAAAAGCACAGGGGTAGGCAAAGTGTACTTTTGGTGGAATAGCAATACAGTAAATGGGGAGAGATTTAATGGAGAACAAGTCCTTCTCCATTTCAGTATGCCTGCATTCTTTAGATTGTGAGCATTCAATGTTATCTTTTTTTAGGAGTGCTACAGTTCTGAGATTTCCCTGCACAACCAGGAATCATGCAGCCTGCAGCATACTTCTCTGTTCCTAAAGCAGATCATACTGGCTTTGCAGCCACAGGACCTGAGTCATGTAGCCTGTTCCCCAGTATAGTAAAATATTATTTCATAACCTTTGGTCTCCAACAATTTTTGACAGAGGAGCTCAGATGATACAATTCAAAGGCAAGTCCTTTCAATAAATAGTGCTAGGAAATTACATATCTACATTGAAAGAAAGTAACAGATCAAAATGGACTAATGACTGCATTATAAGACTGAAGTTATGAAACTACAGAAAATATGGAGAAAATGCCTCCAGACCACAGAATGTAAAAATGTTTTTGAATATGACCCCACATGCACAGTAAATGACTAAATATTAGTAAATATGACTTAATCAAACAAAAGGCTTCTGTACAGAAAAGAAAGAAATCAACAGAACAGAGAAACAACATGAAAACTGTTGGAAAATTTTTCTCTAATACTAATCTGACAATTGGTTAATATCTAGGATAAATAAAGAATTCAAAAAATTAAATTGCAAAATCTCAAAACATACTAATTTTGAAATGTGATAAAGATCGTAGTAGACATTTCTGGAAGAAAGACATTCAAGTGGTGAAAGAGTTGATGAAAAAGCTATCATCATTCATCACTAGGAAAATATATGAACAGCCAAAGACTTTTCAGCCTAAAGAAAGCATGAAATTCTGTCATTGCCAACAAAATGGATAGAACCTAAGTACATTATATTAGGTGAAATGCAGCCAGGCATGGTGGCATATGCCTGTAATCTCAGCACTCGGGAGGTTGAAGTAGGACAATCACTGTGAGTTCGAGACCAGCCTGAGCTACAAAGTGAGCTCAAGGCCAGCCTGAACTGCATAGTGAGACTGTCTCAAAAAAGACAAACAAACAAACAAATATATTAGGTGAAATAGTCAAACACAAGAAAGTAAGCATAATGTAATCAAAGATGTTGAAGATATTTTTATTTGCATATGAAAATAATACTGAGATTCCTTGTTACTACAGTAAGTATGAAATCATCAAGAACTCAAAAAAGAAATTCTGGCAAAATTGTGGGGGAAACTGAATGCTTTCACTTTGTTAATGGAATGTAAATAAAATCACTATGGAAATCAGTATAGAGAGTCCTCAAAAAATTCAAGATAGAAGTTCCATTTCACTGAGCTATACTTTTCTTGTATCTTCTCAAAAGTGTTAGTTATATCATATTACAGTCATATATGCATATGTATAGGTACAAAAACATTGTTTCACCCAGAAAAGGTAGCAAGTTACAAGGAAATGAATCTTGCTCTCACATGGTTCTGGCTTGCACATGGATTACCAAATGACTAGTGTCTACATTAAACTTTCATGTCAATATGTGTCTAGTGCCAAATCTGGCCCACCTCAAAGCAACCAAGTAGCAAGTTATGAATGTAGAAATACATGTGATATTCCAAAATCAGATCTACCTAGATATAACTTTTTCCCCAAACAAAGTTAACATTAAAGTGTCAACAATGTGTTCTTTTGGGGTGTTTCTCTGTGGCCTTCACTGAATGCTAATGACATTACTTTCAGTAATCTCATAACAGATTGGGGTGCTTGGGACCCTGTTTGCTGTGCCTACTTTTTCTAGCTTAGTTCATTTGACAGTGAATTTAGGGTGAGCAACCTTACCACTAACAAGTTCCTTGCTAAAGAGGTCAATTAATGGGCTTTACTCTGAATTTACAGAATTATAATTTCTTAAAGAAATAAAAAAATTTTACATGAACTTGGAAACGTGAGAGGCAATGATTTTTTTCATTGGTTCTCAGCCAAGGCTTCCAGATATGATCTTGTGGCCAGTTTTCAGAAGTGCTTTTTACTATACTACACACACACACACACACACACACACACACACACACAGAGAGAGAGAGAGAGAGAGAGAGAGAGAGAGAGAGAGAGAGAGAGAGAGAGAGATTCTGTATATAAATTTGAGTAGAAGCACCGATATTGTTTTAAGTAACCACTCCAGATAATGATAATGTGAGGCCAGGCTCAACCACATAGTCTTTTGTTTCATTATAGTTGAGTTTGGCCATCCATACAAAGGGAAAGACAGGCACTCCCCTGTCTGGTTTTGGTACTGTGTGTCAATGTAGCCCCTATTCCCATTTCCATGCAGAAATTCTTCATTTGCTGTCAGGGGAGGTCATCTGAAGGCCATAAAGATCATTTTCCTAAATCTCTACTGTGACAAAAGACAAGAGGATGAGCCTTTTTGTGCTGCATAAGATCCATTTAAGTATGGGGACAAAAAGTAAAAGTAGTTTGACAATCTTTTTAAAATCAGAATCTCAAGGCGAACTGGTGGATTGTCAAAGTAATCTTGCCTGGGAGGGAAACACAGTAAAAGAGAGGGAAGGAATGACTTGTTCTAAACTTAGTATATCTCAGGTCAGGGATCATGCCAAATTTTTTCCTGAAATATGACATGGTCAAAATTTCTAAACCTTTATCTCTGTTCTTCTGTTGTTCCTTTCTAACATGTTGCTTCCAATTATTTCTTTCAAAAGAGTCAAGGTTAACACTAAAGTATTTCTCTACTGTGTAGCAAATCCCTCTTTCCAACTCTTCCCCAGCAGCTTCTTGTCAGGACAGATTCTCACCATTAATCTGTGACCTGAGAAAGTTACAATATTTCTATTTTGGCAGATGAATATGAGAACATATTAATACCCAATTCTTACTGAGGATAGACTTGGGTCCTGGGATAACAGTGAAGCAGGGAATGGGTAGTGTGTAGAGCTCTTCATTTGCTCTTTGAAGACAAGATTGGAAAACACCTGTGGAAACAGAATGGCATTCACTGCCAGAATAACTCAGAATTGGATGAAGAAAACTGCTCTTTCAGATACCAGGAAAGACTGTATTGAGGAACAATAGGGATTGCAGAACAGGAGGCTCCTAAGTGACTTGAACTTTGCAACAACCTGATGCTTTCCTGACACAGCAGATAATGGTTTACTTCCTATTTTGTTTTGTTTTGCTTCAGCTCCTAATGTCACAGCAGTGATACTGCATCCTCCTATGCTCATTAACATATGTTACCAGCATGTCCTGTGAGGGTTATGGTGACCTCATTCCCCCTGTTAAAGTCTTCTGTGACCCTATACACATCATAATTTTTCTCATGATTAATAAATATCTAGGGAGATTTACTGAAGGATATGCATAAACCTTAACATTTAATATAGAATGTCACCTTATTCTGAATTCTGGATGGTGACTTACCTTAGAGAATGAAAACTCTCAGCATGGTTTGCTCAAGACAGAGGTTTTACAGGGGAAATCCTGAAAAAGTGTTCTGCCTTGCAGGTTTTGATTCTATTCCTCATTTCTGTCAGCGGCATGGTTTACCCCCCAGCCACAGCCCCACCATTGCTGCTCTTGCTATTATGGAAGAGCCTGTGACTCTAAAGCTACTTCAAGTTGCACATGAATTCATTCTTCAGTATTCTGCCTCTTTCCAGCTGAAAACTATGTGGCATTGGTGTCATTAGAGAGCTTGTTAGAAATGCCACAAGTAAGGGACATCACAGGCCTCAATGAATCAAAATCCACAAGTTAGTGAGACCTACAGTTTATTGCTATAGATGTGATAATCAAAGAAGTACATTTATGTTACTCCACAACATTTTCATTGGAGGGATAGAGGAGCAGATGTAAGCAAGGATATAAAAATCACACCTCATGAACCTTTGAATAGGGCAAGAATACATGGCAACACAATTCACAAATTTAAAATTACAGGAAATTTCTTTACATGGAAATATGAAAACAAAGAGAACACACACACTTACAGAAAATATTTCTTGCCAAAAAACAGATATTCCTTCTGCTTTTGCTTTCTCCATACATAATAAAATTTTTTAGCCATACACAAGTTAAGACAAGACCACAGACACTTTTGTACAGGTATGGCATTGATTTTGATGATGGCTTCATGGCTGTGTATTTATCACCAGGCACACAGAATTATATACATTAAAAACTTGCAGATTTTTGTAGGTTAGTCCTACCACAACATAGCAGTTTAAAAATTAAAACATGTAAAAAAAAGTGTCTTAGTATAGTAAATTTTAAATAATTCCTTAAATTATGATGTAGAAAAAACATAAGAGAATCTGGTTCTAATGCACAAAATTATGCTGAGGGTCCCACAAGTGTAAATAAATAAAATATAAAAAGCAAAGCACATAAAAGTGATTAAAAATAGCATAATTTATGATGTATATAATAATTACATTGAATAAAATATAAAAGCTTCTTAAATTACTGAGTATAGGAAAGAAATACATTTCACACAAAAGACTTAAAAACTAAGGAAGCATAAAAACTGAAAAATAAAAATTCAATTACATCAAAAATAAGCATTTACACTGAATTGATTTCATATTCCTGTTAATTACTACTCTATATAAAGAAAGAAATTTTAGCTTTGTTTTCATTACCTTTCTGTGCAATTAGATTGGCTCATAATTACTCTTAGTATTCCATGACATCCAGTGCATTCAGGATTAAACACATAAAAAGCAAATAAATTAACATGTCTGTTGAGTTGTTCATTTCTTTCAGATGAGCCTGGTTACACAGTGTTCACGACTTATTAGAATAAAGGGGCTGGCAGTGGGGAAACAAGAATTTATTAAGGCAGAAGTCTTGATGAGCCACCAGGTAGTATTATCATAAAGAGAAAATAAAATATGAATAATGCAAGACAGGCTATAGAAGGACACAAAGGCACTCACCAGAGTAAGAATACTTCGACAGGCTCTGGTCTCTGGGGAAGCTCTTGATGAGATATTATGCTTGTGGATGTGATGTACCCACTGCTTGTGCTTGTACAGAATGAAAACCATGGAACCACTGGCCCAGATCATGAGCTCCAAACACAAAATGTCATTGGAGAATACTAATACTGCAAACACTGATCCTGGGTCATTGTCATGAGGCCTAGCTGAGCAGTACTGAAAATCCATAGCTTTTGTCATGTTTTCCTTTTTCCTTTGGGCGGTCATAAGCATGAGAATTCTGATATTTAGGAACATGTGCAGGACCCAGCAGAAGACATTAAGGGGACCAATGCACTTTAGGGCCTTCCTTTTCAGCTCTGCCCACCTGGAGCTCCTGGGGCTGATGGTGATGGCCTGGAAGACACTCAGCAGGCAGGTGGTGCTGAGAGACACACCTCTAGCCACCCTGTGAACGTAGAAAATGATTTTGCACCCAACACTACTGAGAAAGTGTTTCAACCCAAAAGCTGCCATGGTCTCTGGGATTCCTCTGAAGATAATGAACAAGGAGTTGGCCACTGTCAGGTGCCTGAGAATCAAATCTATGGACCTTGCCTTATAAGTATTGAAGTAAAGGAAAATATAATGGTATAAGAGTGCGAAATTTCCCAGGATTCCAAAGATTATCTGGAAAAGGAGAATTATTCCAATTGTAAAATCCACGGAGGTCATTCTTTAATGTTCAGGACTGAAAAAAGCATCAAAAATGTTATTCTGTATGGAAAGATATGTTGTGGAATACATATAAAAATTAAATTTAAAATCTTATGCTTAATAATTCTTATGAATTTAAACTGGTGATATGTATTTTAGTTACTGAAAGCTTTCAGAGTCTGATATGACACTTCATGAAGATTTTTCAGTGTATGACAAATGATGCTTAACTGCTTATTTATTCTCACTTAATAACCCAACATGATGGGTTATAAACTACTAATGTTTTCCTGTTACATGCAAACACAGTTTAGGAGAAAGGAAGTTACATGACTGACATGAATATAAATAAAGATAAAGACCAGACAGTCAACCCTCCCTAAAGCTTGTGAATATTTTTTGGCTATCAGCCCAGAGTGGTGTTTCTTCAGTTTTCCAAATGTGTGAATATCTTGCCATACTTGAAATCTGCTTATTGGGTTTGATTGTGATAGTTTACCATTTTATGAAAATATGTTTTCTATTCTTAATAGAATATCTATTCTTAATAAGAATAAATCTATTCTTAATAAAATATTGATGAGCTCAGTAAATTCTCTAACAGACCAAATTGGCTTTGCTAAATATGAAACAGCATTACTATAAGAACATAATATTTGTATTCTTTGGTATCTAATATAGAGTTCATGTGTAATGTTGGACTTTTGTACAAAGCTAAGCACAAACAAATTTAAAATGAAATAAATGATAAATTATTATATGGCACACTATAAATTAATCTGCATTAGATACCATAAATTTGTACATTTTGTATTTTAGGAAAATAAAAAAAGGCAGTAAGTTATTTAGGAATGATGTGAAATACAAAAAAATTATATGAAATAAAATTCAGAGATACCACATCTGGTGAATTCATATAGCAGATAAACAAAACAGATCTTGAAAATGAATTCGAATTTTATGACCAGACATTATATCATAAGAACAGAATTAAAACTGACAAATCTGATCATTAAATGATCTATTGTCCATATCCCTCAAATATGAAGTTAACTTTACCTAGAAGTCATGTTTCCCAATGTCAGAAAGGAAAATAATCCTACAATCATCAGGAGACCGTATGTGTTTTCAGAAAAAGTTAACTATTTCCACTAAACCTGTCAAACCCAAGTGAAAGTAAAATCATTACACTGTAGCAGTTGCCAAGTCTTCATGTTGCTTATACTGAAATATGGCTATTCAACTAACTCTGTCACACTCATTATATCAAAGAAGGAACTTTTGCTGAACAAGTAATACTAGTTATGCAAGTTTCCCTATGATTTAGGAAAAGCAGTTGAATAACAGACAAATACCAAAAGCACAGTCTCAAGGTTCCTACAAATCAGACCTCTTCACTGCTTGCAACAAACTCTGACAACCATCATCATTGCTGGATTTATTTTAAGTATGACATCAGTGAGAGGCTGGTGTGGGATCAAGGACCTCCAGTCTCTGTTACAAGCACAATCTGTTCCTTAAGAATTAAGGCTCCCTCCTCTCTACCTGTCACACAGATGAACTGCTCTTCTAGATCTGATGACTGACATGGACACAGACCCCAGCACAGCTCGTTCTCTTACCAACTCTGCTTCAGAGGCTGGTATAAGAAATATCCAAACATTCCTGCTTCCAGGACAGCATAGGAAGGTGACATTTATAACACTGCTTGCTTGTGTGGGAGTCATCCAGACCTCAAAATATGTAGTCATAATTCTGTGGCCTCAACTCCCCAGGGAAATCCTATTATCATTTCTCTTTTAATTTCAGTGTCAATGAAAGTTCCTAAAGTTGAGACTACTGGATAGAAACAAACAAAAAAAAAAATTAATTTCAGTTCCCCATGCACAGAAACAATTAAAAGTTTCTATCCGCATCTCTAAAGAGAAAAGAGAGAGAGAGAGAAAGAGAGAGAAAGCTTGACAATTTTGGAGAAATCTTCCTTTGCTTTAATAGGTACAGGCAGATAGAGTCTCCATAGTGCATGAAGAAAATACTAATATCTAACAAAGAAATCACAGTGAAACAGGTGATTTTAAGCAACTTAAATGATACATAAATTTATGTATAAATACATTTATCATGCACATGATGGTATGAACTACATGTATTGTTGCAAGGCTATGATGAGCTAATTAATATATACGCTACCACACAACTTTTCATGATGAAAACATTAAAATATGCTATCAGTGGTTTCCAAGAATCAAAAACATTGCCACTGACTACAGTCATGATACTTTACAGTAGATGTCTTTAATTTACTCCCACCTAGAAATGGACAACATCTCCGCATATCACCCATATGCCAAACCCTGGTGACTAATATTCTGTTTTTCTTTTATTATGAAGTGAGAGCTTTATTGAACTAAAATTTGCAAAGCACACAACTTACAAATTTAAAGTGCAAGGCTCAGTAGATTCTAGCACAATGACAGAATTGTACAACCATGAGCACAATCAAATTTAGATTATAGGGGCCTGGGGATTTAGCTCAGCGGCAAAAGCGCCTGCCTGACAAGTGCAAGGTAGTGAGTTCGGTTCCCAGTACCAGAGAAAAACCAAAAAAAAAAAAAAAAAATTTAGATTATTTTTTATATCCTCAAACAAAACACAACTCATCAGCTAACATCTCTCCATCCTGCCACCCCAAATCTAAGCAACCACTGAGCAACCCTCAATCCTCATAGGGTTTCCTGTTTTGGAAATTTATGTTTTTATTCAAAATAGGCCATGCTCATAGTAACAATAAAAACCTCAACATTTACAAAATAATGGAAATCCTGGTAAGTGAGCTCTCACACAGTATTGGAATGAAACCAGAAACAGACAGTAGAAACACACTTAGAATACAATATCTTTTTCTCTCTTTTTTCTGTGAACATTTTATACAAGGGAAGCCTTGTGATATTCAAGCTGTGTGTCTGATTTATTTCACTTAACATTATTATCTCAAGGTGCACCCATTTTCCTACAAACTCCTCAAGTTTATCTTTGTTTTTGGCAGTGCAGCACTCCATTGTAAGTAAATCTCTCATTTTCTCTATCCATTCATCTGTTGATGGGCATATATGCTCTTTCCAAGGTTTAACTATTAATGAACTGGCATTAATTTAACTATTAATTAACTACTATAAACATGGGTACACATATATCACTGAGATATGAAATGGTATGATATTCATCACTGTGATATGACATTTAGCTCTTTTGGAAAGATACTACTATGGTTTGTGTCTGGATATACCCCCAAAGCCTCATGCAGTCATAGGGGTGGGCTTTTGGGAGGCAGCTGAATCTAGAGTTTGTGATTGACTCTAGATGGTCCAATGTTGGGATTATGGGTGTGAGTGCTACACCTACTCTCAGGTGGGAAGCCTACCTACAATATAAGGGATGGAAAGAGGCTTGCTCTCCCCTCTCCTCCTCCTCTCTTGTGGTGTCTTTCCATGCCATGAACAGTTGCCTCCTCTGCCATGCCTCTGCCTTGAAGCTAGCAGATTATGGACTGAAACCTCTACAAACTGTGAACTGAAAAATATTTTCCCCCTTTAACTTTGAGTGTTGGGTATTTTGTCTCAATAATGAGAAAAGTAAACAAGACAGAATTCTAAAAGGGGTATAAGTGGGCCAAATGAAATTTCTATTTTTAGTTTTTTGAAGACTCTCCATACTGATATCCATAGTGCTTGTATCAGTTTACATTCCTACCAATAACAAAAAAGGGTTTCTTTCTTGCCACAGTCTCTCCAGCAAATGTTATTCTCTGATTTTTTTTTTTATGGTAGTCATTCCTTTTGGGATGAGATAGAATCTTAATGTTGCTCTGATTTGCATTTTTCAGTCTTTTTTTTCTGGTACCAGGAATCAAAGTCATGACCTCATGCTTGCCAGCCAGGTGCTGTGCTGCTGAGCTAAATCCCCAGCCCCTGATTTGCACTTTTCAAATGGCCAATGATGTAGAGCTGATTGCTCTCATCTGAGTACTGACAATGAAAAGAGACAAGAGGCTAAACATTTTTACTGAATCTAAATATGTGTTTCATGTGGCCATGCACACACTGTAATCTGGAGAGAATGAGTCCTGATAAACTTTAATGACTCTTTAATGACTCTCCCATTAAACATGTCCCAGAAATTCTACAACTTACTGAGGCTCTTCATTTGCCTGGAGAAGTACAAGTCATTAATTCCCAGAGACATCAGTAAGGAACAGATCTATTGCTGTGGGCAAGGGAAAGGCCAGTAAGAAGGCAAAGGCTGCAGCTTCTCAGCAGCTAGAGTGCCCACTCTTTTGGCCAACCAGTCTATTGCCTGCTAGCCCACCTGTTTATTCTGATAAAGAAATTCTACATCCCAAGAACCAGGGGTAGGCCCTTAATTTGAGTGATGGTGGGCTGCTCCCAAGGGTTTCCTCTTTCTAGCAAGAGGCTTCAATGGAAAGTAATTAAAAGTATCCATGATGTTTATTATTTAGGACATAAAAACACCCTTACTTTAGTTATCAAGTCCTTTCTGGGGGAAGGACCACAGGAAGTGACACAACAGGTGGTTAAAGGGTGTGAAGTGTATCTGAGGGCTGATCCTCAGAATACCTGATTAAGACAACCAGGAGTTAGCTCTACAGCATGGCTGAATAAAGAAGGAGCCTCGTTCAGAGCTACTCAGAGAAATTCAACTAAAACACAGATATTTGGAAGAAAGGGAAAGACATACACCCTGAAACTAAATTCAATCTGACATAAAACTAATAGATCAAATCAAACATAGATAAAAGACAGTAAAACAGCCAGCCAGCCCACCCAGCTGCAGATGAGTCACTGGATCAATACAGCTGCCTACTATACAGGATAGACTTAGGATATAAGGTCCCTGGCTCTTCTTCTTTCCTCCAAACAGAAGATGCTTCAGTCCAGCAGTAAATTCTGCAGGCATGAATTGCTCCCTCCCTGACAATTAAGCAGGTTTCTTTTTTATGC